GTCACAACCCCAGCCGAGAGACAACGCGTCTGTGTACACATCGAGCGAGGGCTCGGGAAGGCGCCTAGGCACCGAACCCCAAAAAATCCAAAAAGGAAGCCGGCGACGCAGCAACCGACGCAAAGCCCCCGGAGACCGAACCCAACGATCGCGAGAGAGGCGGAAGGGACGGCCCCGAAAGAACCAGAACAGCCGATGAAGCCACACCCAACCCGGCGGGTAGAGCAACATGCCAAAGTTCAGGCTCCTGCACAAACCCTCGAGCAACTGCCTCATGACCCGGGAACCCCTCAGAAAAGGGCGAAGGCGGGACCACAGGCGCAAAAGAGCCGCCAGAGGAAGAGACAAGGAAGCAGCGTGAGCGTCCCAAACCAGACCCAGCCAAGACCGAACCTGAGAGGGAACCAGATGGGACATATTCCAGTTCACCAAGAACCCGAACCCGGCGAGCTGGGAAAGAACCAAATCCCTGGTGAGCAGACACGCGGACTCGGGTGCTGGCCTATCTCGGGTCGAGATAGGCCAGCACCCGAACACCTAGCAGACGCAGGCGGGCCACCATGACCCGAGTGAGGCGTGTGAAAATGCGTGGCGCCAGATTCAACCCAAAGGGAAGACAACGAAAGCGGTAACCTTGACACCCCACAACAAAACCGAGCCAGTCCCTGAACCCCGGATGAACCAGGACGAGCAAATATGCGTTCTTGAGATCCAGGGACACCATCCAAGCGCCCCTCTCCAAAAGACGGACCTCGGACAGTGTAGTTATCCGAAAGGAGGGGCACAGAACCCACGGGTTCAGACGCGACAAGTCCAGAGTGAACCGGAGGTCCGCGCAGTCCCGCTTCGGGATCAGAAACAGGCAAGAAACCACCTGGGGGACGACGGTGTTTCGACCACGCCCAAGCGAACCCACTCCGAGATGACCCGACAGAGCGCAGGAGATGAGGCCTGCCTTACCAGCCCCGAATCCCCCGAGGGAGGAAGAGCCACCCAATGCCACCACAGGCCACACTAAATGACTTGAAAAGCCCATGAATCGTGGGACCAGGTGTGGGCAAACTGGGCGAGCCAACCCCCATCGCCCCGTCAATGGGACGAACCGTGAAAGGGCCGACGCACCTTGCGAGAACCGAGATGGCAAACAGGACGGACCCCACTCCGTCCAGCCACAGTCGGAACCGAAGGCGCCGCCAGCCCCAAATCTGGCACCAAAGGCCTACCTCGATGAAAAGACCCCCGAGCCCTGGCACAACCCTTCCGGGAAGGCCCCCTGCGAGCCCCCCGGAGCAACAACAACTCAGACATAGGCCGACAACTGACCGAGGCCGCCTGCAGACACTGCCCCACAGCAGACTCCGCAAACAGCAACGGACAAAAGGGCGAGGACAAACGAAGAGCCAGGGCCCAGGCGGACTCCAAGGAGGACACCAGCACCGCCTGACAACACGCGAGGCGAGAAGCATAGAACCGCGAAATCGCATCACGCAGGATGGGCGCGAAGAGCTTCAACAAAGCAGACGACTCCCGCACAGCAGAGGGCAGCGCACTGGACCTGGCAGAGGCCCCAAGCGCTCCCACATCCAACTCAAGTCAATCCGAAGACAGTAGGGAAAAGAAACGCAGAGCCGAAGCAAGCAGGCCACGAGTCTGCAAATCCTCCACAGTCAAGGCAATTGAGTGGGAAGGAACCTGCATGTGAAGCTGCATTACACCAACATCCCACGGAAGGGCAGGGGCGAACAAACAAGCATTTAGATGCTCGAAAGCGCCCCCCCTCCCCCAGGAAAACCTGCAATGCCGAAGAAACCTCTCGCCACTCAAGCGCGCGGGACCAACAGAACGTGTGCCAAGCCTCTAATGAAAAGAGAGGACAGTCTGCCAACCAGGATGATTCCGGAACTTCACTTCATAACGAAACCAGCACGAACCAGGGGATCCGTACACGAAGGAACGCGGATCCATCATGAAGGGTTAATCCGGGTCACGCAACAGGTAAGCCGCCAAGGCCTGCACCTCCGAAGACGAAACACGGGAAGCCGGAAACCTCTGGAAAGACGGAACCGAAGAACCCTCGGGATCACAGAACCGAACCCAGGGAATGGTGGACACCAAATCCAATTCGTACGCGGAGGGAGCGAAAGAGAACCCCCTCTTCTTGTAACACCAAGCCCTGCTCAGAGGGTAGAAAAACTCAGGCGGGGTCCAATAAGGCCCCCAAGCCAACCCCTCCCCAACCTCAGGAACCTCGCCCAGAGGGCCCGGGGCCGAACCGTCCTCCTGAGCCCCCACCCCCAAAGAAAAGGTGGGAGCAGCCGAAAAAGCAGGAACAAGGGGGTTATCTTGAGATGATTTCGGGGCTTTTTAGTGTCCCCGCGGCCCGGTCCTCGACCAGGCCTCCACCCCCAGGAAGCAGCCCGTGACAGCTGACTAACACCCAGGTACCTATTTTACTGCTAGGTAACAGGGGCATAGGGTTAAAGAAACTCTGCCCATTGTTTCTCGCCGGTGCCTGGGATCGAACCCAGGACCACAGGATCACAAGTCCAGTGTGCTGTCCGCTCGGCCGACCGGCTCCCAATGGGGAGGGGGCCCACTGGCAAGACCCAGAAGCTTCAGCAGAAGGACCAGGCTCAAATGCCTCCGCCACCGCCCCAGAAGTGGACACCCCCGAGACTGCACGAGTCTCACAACCAACTAAACCCAGCCCTGGCTCCGAAACCCTCAGAAGGACTCGGAGGAGTGGACGGAACCAGAGCCGAAGTGACTCCCACCCCCCCAAGTCCGGGTCCCTATAACCAAAACAGGGCAGTCTCGGGGCATCCGGGGCAGCAACCAACCTAGCTCGTTGCAGCAACCTAAAGCGAGCATGCAACGCCTCAGCTGCCCTCACCCGCATATCAGGTACAGTAGCCTGTGTGAACTAGAGAACGTACAGACAGCACACGTCGCACGACTCCGGATCAAAACAATCGCTGACCCAACAGGCAGCATGGCGGAGGCAAAACCGGTGAGTGTCCCCGTGAGACAAGGTGACAGAGCAACCTTCAAACTCGCAGGATGCGAGGGGGGACTCAAGGGTCACATCCATCGGACCACGTAGCCCCCGTGGGGTTTTCCAGGGCCCTTAGCCGTGGTAACTCGCTAAGGGAAACCCAGGCAGGGTACTGTGAACCGGCATCCAAAACTACCAAACAAACTGGTATAGCTGAACCCACGGGACGTGTACACTCACGGGGGCCAAGCGGAGAGGACCACCAACACAACAAGAATGAGACAACCCCAAGAACAGCGATGGGGGAACCAAACAGGCAGACCTCTCCACCAGGCGAAAACAAAAACAAACGAAAAACCCCGCAAGAGGACAATGTACCCGGGCGGAACAGAGCCGGTCGCTGTTAATGGTGAAAACTAGCTGTGCAGTACTCCGCGCCCCTACCAGTGACGAAAACTACCCCCTATCCAGAGACAAACAAGGGCAAGAAAAAATCCCAGCTGACCCCAAGGGCGGCCAAGTACCGAGCAGTACACGGCACAGCGGAGGTAGACCCCAAGGTGACCCAGGGAAGGTGGCCCTAAGCCCCAAGGGCAGTACTTACAGGGCACCTAGGGAAAATAACCCTAGGCACATGCAGCCCGAGCACAGTGGAATAATACTCCTGGCCCACACACCACCGGAATGGATAGCTCACACCACAAGGCACAGAACTGCAACTGCAAACAGGAGCCAGAGGCACGACTGCACCAGATCCCATCAGCCTGAGAACTAATGGTTGGGTCGCCGACGGTGGGGTTTCGGGCTCCCCCTTCCCCCTCCCGGGAAGGGGGGGGGTGTGCAGACAGCGGCGCGGCGACATGATGACGTCATGATGGTTATCTAATTTTCTTTTGGGGAGTTCTGTCCACCTGTTCGGTCTTCGGTGGCAATAGCTTACCAGAATAGGTTTTTTTTTGGGCGCCTACCTTTCTGGGTTCCTATCCCGGTCGATGGCAGACATAGAATGCTCCCAATCATACGGGGGGGGGGAGTCTCTATAGGCCATTGCTCCTTGTGCCTCTCTAGAGCGGGCCAGGTTCTGGCTCGTGGTCCCCGGTAGGCAAGAACTCCATGCATTGACTGATCCCAGAAAGTTATACATATCCATTCAGCCTGGATAGCTCAGGGGAGCCGAAGGGGCTCCCCCAGAAAGATCAGCCTGCAAGCCAGGAAGACCCCGGAACTCCAGAAGGCAGAACCATGTTACATACGAGGTAACAAAGCCTCCTGAACCCACAAAGGGGGTCCAAGAGGAAGAAACCTCCGGAACGAAACCAAAGAACCCAAAGGAACCTGGAATCGAACCCGGGGGAGCCCAACCTACCACATTTGCCAGCGGAAATACACCACAGAAAGGGCAAAGCACAGCACCCAGACAGAACCCCCGGGGAAACGGCTAAAACGGACCAAAAACCGAGGGACAAGGCGTGGGAGCAAGCATAACAGACAGGGACACGTCTGTTCCTGAGTAGTGTGTTATGTTTGCTTGTTTGTTTGTTTCCTTGGGAATGTAGGGAGTTCTACCTCTCTGTTAGGTTTTTGTTGTTAGTTTCTTACCATGTGGGGTTTGTTTTGTTATGTCTATCTTTCTGGGTGCCTAACCCCAGTCGATGGCAGATAAGGAAAAATCCCAACCACAGGGGATGGGGGTCCAGGGCCATTGCTACCTGCAACCTCTCTGAAGGGGCCAGGTTCTGGCTCATTGTCCCTGGTAGGTCTGAACTCCATAGCTAATGTCCCGGTCTAATATAACATACATTAGCCTGATAAGCTCCAGGGAGCCGTAGGGGCTCCCCTCAGAAAAACTCATAATGGAAAGTAATTCCTTAAAATTAATATCTAGTACTTTTAATGAGCCCAGAATATAGATTGGATATATTTAAAAATGGAGATAAATGACTCAGGTTCCTGCTACAGGCTACAGGATTCCTGCATCACAGCACATGAATAACATACATCTTACCTGTAAAATAGAGTGCCGTTTGCGGTCTACAGTGAAGGCACACAAAGAAAGTGCATAGCTCAGAGGAACATCAAGGAGAGAAGAGTATTTTCTAAGGATATTTACTGTGTCTAAGGAAAATGCTTCACATGCTGTTGGATGAAAACAATAAAATAATATCAATATGATACGTCTCACAAAAGAGACTAATGTAGACAATGGCAATTTTGATAGGTCAGTGGAAATAAAAATATTTGTTATATATCTCAATATCATCACAAGTTCCACAATACGTTTGTACTAATAGCTGAGAAATAACTGCAAAATAGTAAGAACTTACTTTCTGGCAAATATTCTTCTTCTACCAAGTGTTGAATAGCAGAAAATAATGCTGAATGGTTTATATGGCCACTGACTCCTCCAGTGTCAAATGTCACCACCTGAGAGAAATGAGCAGCTAGGTAACTGCAGCAGTAATGGTGGTGGAAGCCAAGTGTGACAACATACGGCAATGGAATTTGTAACAAATAAAAGTGTAGTACAGTTGGCCCTCAATCTGTGCAAGGAACATGTTTCAGGGAACTTCATGCAGAGCAAATTTAACTTTAGTTCACAAACATAGGGTTACCTTCCAGTGTCAACAGAAATTTCCTTCAAAATAAAGAAATATGATAATTAAATAAAATAAACAAATAAATATAATTCCAAATAAATAAATAAACACTGAATAAAACACCTGTTCCTGAATACAGTGGAACCTTGGTTGACGAATGCCCCTCTTTACAAAATTTTTAGGTTTAGGAGCTCAATTTCTTCATAAAATTTGACTCGGTACACGAGCTTTGCCTTGATTGGCGAGTTTGTTAATACAGTGCTTCCTCAGACTAACGAACCCCGCTCTATCGAATTCCCGGAAGAGCCGAACAAATTGAATTCGGTACCAAATGTTCAGTGGAACATACAAATGTTCGATTAAGTGAGGAATGTTCGTCCAAGCGGTCACCGAGGAGGTCCGAGCGTCGGAGCTGGCTGTCATCAACTATGATTCGCCAGAGTGTAAACAGTTATGTAGTGTTTTATTATCCTTACCCATTGTTTCTAGGGAGAAATGGTGATAAAAATGGTGATAAAATGGTGTCAGGGGGCATTAGTGAAAGAGTTGTTGCTAGGAGGCAAGAGGCAACACGTGACTGGCGCTCCATGCTCCCCCGCCCCCACCCTCCTTCCTCACACCTGACCACAGAGACCACTCACTCTCCTCTCGTCGTCAGATGCCAAGAGTCAATTTATGATAATTATCGCATTATCTACACTGAAAATAGCCTGTTTATTAGAAAAATGTCATATTGGAGCAACAATAATGGTGAGAATTGTAATATATACAGTACATATTTTAAAACAGTTTGAACACATTTCCTTTTCACAGAATTTTTAATACAATTGGGGTGTAGATAACAGCTGGCATTGTGTGGCCGGCTGGTCGCTCCCTGAGCCATTGGGGGGGGGGTGGGGTGGTAGGGGGGGGTTTGTTTCCTGGATCCCCCTCTCCCTCTTCTAACAGCCTACGTACTGTACTAATATCTATTTAGAATAAATTTTGAGTAGACCAATAAAACAAGCACAGGTCGTGTGAACGTTAGGCCTTGGTGAGGTGGCTGGCATCATTTGTGGTGGTTTCAGGGGAGGCAGGTGGGGTCAGGGGAGGTAGGTGGGGTCAGGGGAGGCAGGTGGTGTCAGGGGAGGCAGGTGGTGTCAGGGGAGGCAGGGGGGGTCAGGGGAGGCAGGTGGGGTCAGGGGAGGCAGGTGGGGTCAGGGGAGGCAGGCGGTGTCAGGGGAGGCAGGCGGGTGTCAGGGGAGGCAGGCGGTGTCAGGGGAGGCAGGTGGTATCAGAGGAGGCAGGCGGTGTCATGGGAGGCAGGTGGGGTCAGGGGAGGCAGGTGGTGGGGTCAGGGGAGGCAGGTGGGGTCATGGGAGGCAGGCGGTTTGTCAGGGGAGGCAGGCGGTGTCAGGGGAGGCAGGCGGTGTCAGGGGAGGCAGGCGTTGTCATGGGAGGCAGGTGGGGTCAGGGGAGGCAGGTGGTGTCAGGGGAGGCAGGCGGGGTCAGGGCAGACAGGCGGTGTCAGGGGAGGCAGGCGGTGTCAGGGGAGGCAGGCGGTGTCATGGGAGGCAGGTGGGGTCAGGGGAGGCAGGTGGTGTCAGGGGAGGCAGGCGGGGTCATGGGAGGCAGGTGGGTCAGGGGAGGCAGGTGGTGTCAGGGGAGGCAGGCGGGGTCAGGGGAGGCAGGCGGGATCAGGGGAGGCAGGCGGGATCAGGGGAGGCAGGCGGTGTCAGGGGAGGCAGGTGGGGTCAGGGGAGGCAGGTGGTGTCAGGGGAGGCAGGTGGGGTCAGGGGAGGCAGGTGGTGTCAGGGGAGGCAGGTGGGGTCAGGGGAGGCAGGCGGGTGACAGGGGAGGCAGGCGGTGACAGGGGAGGCAGGCGGTGTCAGGGGAGGCAGGTGGGGTCAGGGGAGGCAGGTGGTGTCATGGGAGGCAGGTGGGGTCAGGGGAGGCAGGTGGTGTCAGGGGAGGCAGGTGGGGTCAGGGGAGGCAGGTGGTATCAGGGGAGGCAGGTGGGGTCAGGGGAGGCAGGTGGGGTCAGGGGAGGCAGGTGGTATCAGGGGAGGCAGGTGGGGTCAGGGGAGGCAGGTGGGGTCAGGGGAGGCAGGTGGGGTCAGGGGAGGCAGGCGGGGTCAAGGGAGGCAGGTGGGGTCAGGGGAGGCAGGCGGTTGTCAGGGGAGGCAGGTGGTATCAGGGGAGGCAGGTGGGGTCAGGGGAGGCAGGTGGGGTCAGGGGAGGCAGGTGGGGTCAGGGGAGGCAGGCGGGGTCAGGGGAGGCAGGTGGGGTCAGGGTAGGCAGGCGGTGTCAGGGGAGGCAGGTGGTAGAAGGAGGCAGGTGGGGTCAGTGATGGAAGGTGTTGTCAGGGGAGGTGGGAAGTGGAGAGAGAAGGGTGGTGACCACGCATGGCTGCCAAACCTCTCATTCATACTCTATTATAAATCTCAATCTTAGCTGTAAAATATTTATGCCAAAATATGTTAATTTTCGTGTATTAATACACATTATTAATCATTAACATGTTTTATTGTTTCCTGTAGGAAACAATAGCTGACTTGGCATTGTGGTGTGTATGGCCGGGTACCTGGGGGGTGGGGGGGAGGGGGGGTCCTGGAGGTGTGAGAGGAGACCTGTCAACCCATCATTTTTTTTGTCGGGTGAGTTGAGATGCTTCCAAGCCTGCTGCTTCAATACACCCGTGGATGGTGTGATGTGGTGTGGTTTGGGTGGTGTGGTGTGGTTTGGGTGGTGTGGTTTGGTGTGGGTGATGTGGTTGGGTGTGGGGGGATGATGTGGGTGGTGTGGGGTGTGTGGGGGATGATGTGGGGTGTGGGGGGATGATGTGGGGTGTGTGGGGGATGGTGTGGGGTGTGTGTGGGTGTGTGGGGTGTGTGGGGGATGGTGTGGGGGGTGGTGTGGGGGATGATGTGGGTGGTGTGGGGTGTGTGGGGGATGATGTGGGTGGTGGTGTGGGGGTGTGTGGGTGGTGGTGTGGGGTGTGTGGGTGGTGGTGTGGGGAGTGTGGGTGGTGGGGGCGAATGGTGTTAGTGGTGTGGGGGATGGTGTGGGTGGTGTGGGGGATGATGTGGGTGGTGTTGGGGAATGGTGTGGGTGGTGTGGGGGATGGTATGGGTGGTGTGGGGATGGTTTGGGTGGTGTGGTGGATGGTGTGGGTGGTGGTGTGGGGAGTGTGGGTGGTGGGGGCGAATGGTGTTAGTGGTGTTGGGGATGGTGTGGGGGTGTGGGTGGTGTGGGGATGGTGTGGGTGGTGTGGGGATGGTGTGGGTGGTGTGGAGGATGGTGTGGGTGGTGTGGAGGATGGTGTGGGTGGTGTGGAGGATGGTGTGGGGGATGGTGTGGGTGGTGTGGGGGATGGTATGGGTGGTGTGGGGGATGGTATGGGTGGTGTGGGGGATGGTATGGGTGGTGTGGGGATGGTATGGGTGGTGTGGAGGATAGTGTGGGTGGTGTGGAGGATGGTGTGGGTGGTGTGGAGGATGGTGTGGGTGGTGTGGGGGATGGTGTGGGTGGTGTGGGGGATGGTGTGAGTGGGGTGGGGGATGGCGATTCTCGCATCTCAGATTATTATTGACACCAAAAGAGCATGAAAGATATTATAATGAAGCACCACACGACAAAGAAACAAACTAATGTGTCCTGGCATATGTTTAAAAAAAAAAAAAATAAGAAGGTTGTTGGGGCCGGACGGATGGAACGAATTCCGCACTGGAACGAATCGGCTTCGCCCCATATAGTTCGTTCAAGTGAGGACACACTGTACACGTATGGGTCGAGTGAGCGCATGGTTCCTGGTAGCAGGGGCAAGGTGCGCTTCAGTTTACCAATGTATCCCGCCTAGTGACGATCGTGCTTGAATATTGTATTTGGGAGAACAACAGGATGGATGGTGGGGGGAGTGGATGGATGAATGGATGGAGAGGGGATGGATGGATTTTCTTGAGGTTATCTTGAGATGATTTCTGGGCTTTTTTAGTGTCCCCGCGGCCCGGTTCTCGACCAGGCCTCCACCCCCAGGAAGCCGCCCGTGACAGCTGACTAACACCCAGGTACCTATTTTATTGCTAGGTAACAGGGGCATAGGGTGAAAGAAACTCTGCCCACTGTTTCTCGCCGGCGCCTGGGATCGAACCCAGGACCACAGGATCACAAGTCCAGTGTGCTGTCCGCTCGGCCGACCGGTTCCCCAAGATGGTGAGGGGGACTGGATGGATGGTGAGAAGACTGGATGGATGGATGGATGGATAGACAGATGTTGAGGACTTGATGGATGAACAGATGGTAAGGAGACTGGATGAATGGATGAATGGTGAGGAGACTGGATGGATGGTTTGGGGACTGGATGGGTGGATGGATGTATTGTTAGGGGACTGGATGGATGCATGGATGGTGAGAGGACTGGTGAATAAAAATTATATCTCAATAAATGGATGAATGAAAGCAGTCCCATTAGCCACACTCCTTTGGGTATGGAAAGGGTTACGATGGCTAGCATCCAGATGAACACCTCGATTAATAACAACTCTATTTCCCAGAATAGCAATATTACAGAGAGGACACATGACCATATTTCCGTGGAATTGCCAGTTGGGATTAGAGGTGACATGGTCAGGCGGTCAAAAAGAATAAGAGGACTGGATCCAGTATAGCACCCTCATTAGTCGTTGAGATGTAAGTAAGTAATATTATCAAAAGAAGGCACCAAACCGGGAAGGCTATGTAGCACCATCAAATGTGCGGATAATCAGAGGGTGCTAAATATCACCAAGGACGCCAATACGAGAACAGAAACGCATAAGGCGAACGATATGAAAAGTATCCGAGTCACCA